CCCTCGGAATCCTCCTCGGCATCATCTCCACTACTGGAACCGGAACCAGAGTCATCCTCTCTGCCTGCAGATGTCTCTAACTGAGGATACGCAGACTCCTCCTCCTCGCTGGACTCCTCATCATCTCTGATAGGTGCTCTACACCTACCTCGGCTGCGAGTCGAGTCCCTTCTCCTAGCTCCTCGAGAAGGCCTGGATGGCCCAGCCTGTAGCGGTGGCATCTGAAAAAAAAAAAACCAACAAAAGAGGGCAATTTGAATACATCAGCCAAAGTATGTATATCAGATGCAGATACGGGAATGCTGCATAGGATGTGTGCTTGCAGATATAGTATGTGAATGCGGTGTGTCAGATGTGCTCTACACATGCAGTCAACCAATGTAATGAAATGTTCAATTGCAGTCTGTCATCAGAAGTATGATAAATGCAAGGAAATCGAAAAGTACCGAGACGCCGATGATGAACAACTGTGTCTCTCTCTGCAGGACCATTCTCTCGAGTGAGGCCACCACTCCGAGTAACCCCTCATTGTACCCTCTGGGAGGCTGCAGATATAAGTGCAAGTCATCAGTAAATGAATGAATGTCTAAACAGCTGAGTGATAAATCAAAACTGTAAAGCATACCAGTGGCGAGTTAGGGTCACTGACATATCGATGATCAGGCAATGGAGGCTCCAATGGAATCGGGTAGGATGCCCTATACCGCCAGCCTGTCAACTCGGCCGGAAGATCTGGCCACCCAGCATACTGATAAGTCAGGGGGATCTCTCTAGCCCCACTCCTCGATGTGCCAGCCCTGCTAGTCGAAGGGGTATCTGCAGCCCGAACTTGACTCGATGATGGCATGCCAGCATCCCTCCTCATAGGAGTATAGACACCTGTCAGTGGAGGCATCAAGTATGTATGGCGGTAGGTCGCGTAATCTCCCTCCTCCAGCAACAGAACTGCAACAGTACCCAACATAAGCTCCTCGACCTCCCGGGGAGTGAGTCTCTCAGTGAACTGCATGTCCTCTGGAGGTGCTGAGGGGATACCCTGATCAGGGTTGCCCATCGTCTGACGCATGAAGGGATCCCCCAGAAACCAGGCCCTGCCAACGGACCCCTCAAATAAAGTCTTGTATCGAGAAGAGGCCCACGTCCCAGGGAATCGGAACCGGGCATTTCCTGACAAGGGTGCCCAGGGCTGCCAAGAGATCTGCTTATAACAAGTGCATAAACTAATTAGATGTCGTAAATATGCAAGATGAACCAAAGCTGAAAACATAACGAACTGAGAGTTTTGGATTACCTCTGTCGGTCGTACAGTATCAAAGAACTGTCGAACATAGGGCAAAGTCTCCCGAGTCCTCGACCAACATCGACCCTCAAATCTGCGACAGTAGGGGATCTCAAGAGGTGCCTCCACCTCGAGCTCAGGGGCCAGTGTCGGGAAGTATGCATAAACCCATAGCTGTGAAAGGCAAGACAATGACTATCAAAACACAGAATATATTGAAAATGTAGAATGCTGAGTTGTAAATACGAAAAATACAGAATGCTGAGTGCAGAATACAGAGTACAGAATGTAATGTGTGTCGTATGTGTAGTGTACAGATAATGAAAAGCAGAAATGTAAATCAAGAGGGCAGAATGTACCTCCTAGGCTCTCCAGTAGCCACCCACTATGTTCCCTCGCCCGCGGGAGGTCGCGCTCATGTAACAGTAAAGGATAGTGAGGCCGGTGCCACCCCAATCATACTGGCTGACCTGTGATAGGTCTACCAAAGCACTGAGCAAGTAAAGTCCAACTGTGTTCCCCCTATCGAAGAAGAGGGTGGTCCTGATTAGGAACATCAAAAAACCCTGGGTATACTACTCTATCTCCTCAACAGTCTCAAGCATAGTCCTCCTGAATCGCTCGGAGAACCAGGTGTACCTAACTCTACCTGATGATCTGTCTATTGGCGGGGGGGGGCCCCGCAGATAAATCCAAGTCGCCTCCCACTTGCCCATGTCTGCGTCATAGGGGACCGGTCGGCCGGCCACGTCAAGGCCCGTCAACATAGAGAAGTCATATGGGGTCATCGTCATGTCCCCAGTAGCTGAAAAGTGGAATGAGTTGGTGGTGTCCCACCATCTCTCCACAAGTGCCCCCATGAGGGTCCTACTCACCGGATAACGTGGTATCCCTGCGCAGAAAGGTCCAAATCTTGCCTCGTCCACGATGTGACGTACAACATCTGGGAGCTTCGTATACCACTCCCTAGCAAGGATCGATCCATAACCATGTGTGGAATGGGAAGATACGTGCATTCAGAATGAACAGATGTATTCAGTTTCAGAATGAAATGTATGAGCTGCGTGCAAATGAAGTAAATGAACTGTGTGTTCAAAAATGAAGTAAATGAACTGTGTGTTTAGAAATGGAGTAAATGAACTGTGTGATCAGAAGTGAAGATGTATGAACTACGTGTTCAAAGTAAAATGCATGAGCTGCGTACAAACAAAAATGTATGGGCTGTGTGTTCAGAATTAAACGGTCTGAGTTGTGTGTTCAAAGTGGGATGCATGAGCTGCATGCAAATTAAATCAAATATTGTGCGTCCAGTATGAGCCGCGTGCAAATGAAATGTGTGAGCTGTGTGTTCAAACAGAAATGTGAGTCGTGTGCTCGAAAATGTGTTGTGTGCCTGAAAATATGCTGTGTGCCTGAAAATGAGCTGTGCGCCTGAGAATGAGCTGTGTGCCCGAAAATGTGCTGTGTGCCTGAAAATGAGCTGCGTGCCCAAAAGAATGAGCTGTGTGCCTGAGGTAAACTATGTGGTCAGGATGAACCGTGTGTTCAGAGTAAGTTGTATGCCAAATTAACAGAATATTGTGCTGTGAGCTGTGTGCCAAGTCAGCATCATATCCTAAATAAGCTACGTGTCAAATCAATATTGCGCTATGTGCGAGCCGTATGCCAGAATAAGCAGAAGTACTATGCATATGAATATGTTCAGAACGAGCAGATAAAATACATTGTGAAGGCATGAAATGTGCATGAAATGCAGAATTTATTGCAGAAAACGTAAAAGGAAGTATGTACCTCTCGCTCCTGATGAGATAGATGAGACTCTGGCTCTCGTAGCAGTAGGTTCGCAGGTGCTTGCCGCGCGAAGTCGGTAAAATCATAGAAGGTGGTAGGAGCTAGCACGTGCTCCTGAGGGTGGTACCTCTCCGGGTCGAAAGGCCGAATCCTCGGAGGCAGTGACATGATGTCTGGCTCGTCCTCGGCATGTGGAGAACCTCCGTCGTGATGAAAATGATCCGCCATCCGAAGAAATCTGCAAAAAAATGAGCAAAAATGAGTGAAATGAGCCAAAATTGTAAAATGTCAACAAAAGTCAACTCTCGGGAAAGAAAAAAGGCAACAAAAGTCAACTCCCGAGAAAATGTGCCAAACTTTGAGACAAACATACCACAAGTGGCGAAAATGGAGAAAGAAGCTCCGAAATCAAATTTTAATCGGTTCAAAACGAAGAGAACCGAAAGTTTTCGCGAAACAACTTTGCGTGGGGCATTGGAAAACGCGTATAAAGTGCAAATCTGAGAGAGAAAAGGGTCTAGGGAGCAAAAGGAGCTGATTTTGGCCTTGAAGGTGTGAGCAAAAGTGTTTTGGACAAGTGAACTTAAAGATCTAGCCCTAAAAGACTAAACTGCCCTGAATTTCTGTAAACTGGTCGGCCCACCAGTTTTTCTGGTCGGCCGACCACCTTGGTGAGCAAAAGCTGGTCGGCCACTAGCCTAGGTGGGCGGCCATCCTCCTGGATGGTCTCCAAGGTCCCTTTGTTCTCTCTGTGTATTTTGGTGATGATTGGAGTCCTCGGCTCTCAAGAAAGTACAAGAAAAGTACACTTTCCGACGTGAAATTATCTCCGCAGGAACTTCAAATTCAATTCTTTGATACGTGGCTCATCGTTACTCATCAAGAACAAGGTGTATCCTTTTTGAATACTTTGTGACCCCTTTGGGAGGTAAATCGGAGGTTCTGGTTAAATCGCTCGCGTTAAGGCTTGTATTTCCTTATTCGACATTATGTTTCGAGCATACTATTGAAGTGGCACTTCTCTCGCATTGTCATGCACCCTTTCTTTTCTGGCATTTGTTATGCACACTTTAAGTGTGTAGTTATGCACGTCTCGTTGCATTGTTACGCACACCATTTGTCGCACTGTTATGCATGTTTCTCTCGTATTGATAAGACACACTTTGTTTGTGTTGTCACGCACATTGTATCGCATTGTCATGCACCCCTTCTCGCATTGTTATGTGTCACACTTAGGTTGCATTGTTATGCACCCCTTCTCGCATTGTTATGCGTCACACTTAGGTTGCATTGTCATGCACCCCTTCTCGCATTGTTATGCGTCACACTTAGGTTGCATTGTCATGCACCCACACTTCGCTTGCGTCGTCACACATTTTTCATTTGCATTGCCATGCATATCTCTAACAAATATTATACCTGTTGAGTTTCTTTCTTTTACAGGCAGGATATTGTATATATGGTTCATTTGAAGCTGGTGCGACCAGACGAACCGGACGGTATTGTATTCTCCGTGTGAAACGTAGAGAGAATTGCGTAATTCTCTTACATTCTTTCTGCATGTAATGTAGTTCGATTTGTTTTCATGCACTTAAGCTGTCGCATTTATTGTGTATAATTGCTTCATTATAGTTTCCTTTGCATGATCATAAGTTATGTTCAGCCTCGTGCATGCCCCTTGCATTTTGCCCCTGCCTGCGGGCACATCTCTTTGCTTATCTCGCATGTTTGTCCAAGTCTTCAGCCTTGTCAAAAATGGGTTGTCTCTGGGCTTTGACATTCACTTCCATCACTTATGACTTTCGAGTTTTGTCAAAGAGAGGCAACTGTAGACACCTCATTTTTGACCGACCTTAAGACTCAGACGTCATCGATTGAGCACTCGGTGATCGCGCATGTTGTGCTCGTTTCGAGGTTTCGGAGTTCTTGGCTGAAAGCCTCACCTCCGGACCTCAGGACCCTTTGTACTTTAACTCGATACGCGGACCAAGTTTTGTTTTCTCTTCCCAGAGGGAGAGAGAGGTCTTGTAGACCATCTCTCAGTGGTCGTAGACTACTTTTCGTGGTTGTAGGCCACTGTTCCCGTTTGGAGACTAGTTTCTGATTTTCAGAGCCGTCGGCCGTACGCCCCGGTTCGGGACAACTTAACATTCTCCGTTTGGCACGTTTTTTGGAACACACCTTGTTTCCTCTGTCTAGAGGGACACTGTGGTCCTGGAGACCACTTTTGCGGTCATACGCCACTTTTTGTGCTCAACAGCCAGTTTTCAAGACCCCCGGCCGCGCGTCTTGCCTCCCAAACTCTTGTTTTGCATCCGTGTTGGTTCATTCTTGGCACGAACCTTGTTTTCCTTGTTTGGAAGTGGTACAAGGGTGGGAAACCAGCTTTTTTCCTTGGAGACCACTTTTCTCCCCGCCAGCCGGTTTTCTAGTCGGGAAACTGGTTTTCTTGGTCTTTGGGCCACATTTTCTGGTTTTCCACCCCACCATTGGCTTGCTTTCAATGTGGAGACCACCATTTCCCCTGGCCGACCACTTTTTTCCTGGGAAACCACTTTGGGTGGCAGGCTGACCACTTAAAGTAGCAGGCCGACCACCTTTTATGATCGGCCCCTTTTCCCCTGTTTTGTCAAGCTGTGTGGATGCCAGCTGGAGGGCACAAACTGTATCCTCCATACACGTATGTGGAGGGATTGCATCCATGTTTAGCTTCTCCAAGAATCTTGAACCTTTGTTTTTTCTATAAGAGAGGGGCTCCCTCTCCATTCCAGAGGTTCTGAAAATTTCCTAAGGCACAAACACATATCTCTCTGTATATCTCTATATTTTGAGCCAAAAGTGTGTATTGTTCTTAACCTTTAACACCCCAACTCTTAGCCATACATCCTTACCATTGAACTGAGGTTCCTAGAGGTTATTTTTGGAGGTTAAAATGGTGGTTTTTGGCTGAGGAACTTGCTGGTTTTGCTGAGCTTCAAGGGTAATCTCTTTTCTCTCTTTTTAAGCTTTGTCTTGATCACTCTCTTAGCCATACTTGCATGCTTATTTGAGCTTTGTTGTCAACTGAAAAAAGATCCATATTTAAGTATTTTTCATGTTTGTTTAAGGCCCTTTTGGTGCTGAGGGTCATCTTCCCTCTTGCATGCCCTATTTGGCCTTGTTTTGTGCCATGCCATAAGGCCTTTGAGTTAACCCTTGCATGGCCTTTTAGCCACTGAAATCCAGTGGATTTTCAGTGGTTGGCATGTGGTTTTGAGGCCCTAAATCAAAGAGGGGTGACCCTCTCTCTTTTGGTCTTGTTTGCTTGCATTTTTGGCCTATCAAAAGAGCATGTGTTTTCATATTTTCAAGGCTT